ATAAAAATGTCAAAACATGTATTACAACATAAATCCCCTCAAAAATACATAAATCAAGGTAAAGAAGGCATGTTTCGTGCTAACTCTAGCCCCAAGAGGATGTCTAGCCACTCATGGATAATGTCCTCCAACCCTCAAGAGTTATCTCCATGGTAGAAATGCTCTTTTTATTGAGGTAGATGGAAGACTTCCCAAGAATGTGTCTTTAGCCTCCTCTTTTCTTTTATTCCTCTCTAAGAATATGATATCAAATGTTGTATCTAAAAAATTTATATGTAAAAGTGGTTCATAATCCTTATATAGGTAGCTCAAATGTCACACCCAATGGTCTAAGCTCGTACACAAGGGCTCCTCTAATGATTGCACCATGAGACAACTTTTAATGAGCTGAAAATTGATTTAATTCGCACTTGAGAGGGTTTGATCGATCAAACCTATGCTGAGATTAATCGAACTTGGCTGAGATCTATCAAACTTTGGCTGGATCAATCCTCCCATGGCGGTGCCTTTTTAGATAAAGACAAATCTGAGATATTTTTGAGATATTTTGGGAAAGAGACAAAAGTGGTAGGTGGGGTGGTACAATAGGATAAGATGGAATCTTTTCGATTAATCTGATAAATGTTGGATTGATAGAACATTGTGGGATCTTTGGATAAGGACAAAAGAGCTTAGATACACTTTGGAGTACAGAGATCGATCTATGTCAGATCGATCGAAGAAATTCTGTGATCGATCGAACTTTGCTGAACTTCCACCATTTGCTTCATTTTGCTTCCACTTTGCTCCTTTCTTTCATTCATCTCAAGATTGCTTCAATTATGCTCTTATTTGGCTGAATTACCTTATTTTGGGGATAAGTGCCTGAAAACGGAAATAACATGAAATCAATCTAAAGCGAAAAAATGAAATAGATAGAGGTCCTAGAATACCTAAGCTTAACGGGTTTAAATGTGCACTTTTCAGTGCTCATCAACAATTTTTAGTTTCAAGGTTCTCTTTTAAAAGCCATTTTAGGCAAAATTTGAGGTTTAATAGGTGATATTTTGTATTTAGCGACTATTGAGGCCGTAGGCCATTAGAACGCGTGTAAATATGTATATTACATTTGCATGAATGCTTACCTTGCACAAAATATCACATTTGTATGAAATGGATTCGTGTTGGTCTCAAATTTTCCATTTAAAGCATTTTCTTTGCATTTTGAGGTTCGGATAGGTCGTATTTTGTTTTGACTTTTCTCTTCCCTCTGGACTCTGAATCAAGTGATTCTTGAGTCTAACTTGATTAATTTTTCGTTGTCTTTTCAACCGTGTGTTCGGTGGCACCCAAATCTTTCTAAAAATTACTATTTTGCCCTTGGGGCTAAACTTTTCTGTTTTTCTTTTTAAGTTACTTCCGCTTGTTTTCCTTTTGTTTCCGTGACTTCATGGAAAGTCACGCTTGTGTCTTAGGGATGATATACATTTCTAGAGACGTTGTTTCCATGTAAAAAGATCATTTTGCCCTTGAGGGCTTATTTGGTCTTTTCTGATCATTTTCTTCCGCTTGGTTCTAATTGAGTTCCGTGGCCTCTTGGAAAGTCACCTTGGAATCCTAGGGATGTTATATATTCTTAGAGACCTTGTTTATGTTTTCGCTTCCGCATTTCGGATTCGTTATTGGGTCAAATATGATTCATCACAAGACGCACCAGCTTGAAAAACCAAGGCCGTCACAGGTGGTATCAGAGCATGTACCCAGTCGGAAGTATGAATGTAGTGATGATGCATTTGATGGGTGTGAGTGGGCGAGTGTTTAGTTCTAGTAAGCTACTACTCGTAGCTGAGTGTGTGTGCTCGGATGCCGTTCACTGGCAGCTACTTGGATAATTAATTTTTGTGATTGGACATATTTCCCGGGTTCACTATTTGTTTTATTTTTGTGGGTAGGTGAAGGCATTGACTTTTGTAATACCCCTAATTTTAAAAGGATAGTCTAGGTATTATTTTTAATGTTTTAATTGCATTTTATTTATTTACTTGATTATTTGACTATTTGATTGTGTGTTTAATTGAGTTTGTTAATTAAATAACTTTGTATTAACAATATGATATATATATATTACATATTTGTGTAATAAGGATATACATAGATTATATATGTAATATATTTTTAGTTACCTTTTTAATATTTTAATTTTATTATTTTCTTTTATTAAGTTGACTTGAATTGGGAAAAGGACTAGGTTATTTTATTTAGCCTATAAGTATAAGTTAGTAAAAGGGGGCTAGAGATTAAATCACGTAGTATATTTTGGAGGAAAAAGGAAGAGAGTTTAGAGAGAGAAAGAATGAAGAAAAAGAAGGAAAAGCAGAAGAAGGAGGCTAAGGTTTTTATTAAAATCCTTAAGGCAAGTTCTTTTCTTCTCTTCCCTTTTGATTCATATTCTGTATAGACTTAGATTAATTCCAGGATATTTAATTTAATTAATTGAGCCTATTTGTATGATAAACTCTGAAATTATAGTATATATAATTTATGTAATGGGTTTTGTATATTGTGTGTGTATATATATTGTTTAATTTGTTTTAATGATTTTTAAATTGTTAAATTAGATTATGGAGGATTTTAAAAATATGACTTAAGTACATATGTTAAGTATAAAATTTAATTAATTTTAAAGTTTAAATTAATTAAATATGGTTGGATTAAATTATTTTAATCAATTATTTTGTTTTAAATAAATTTGATCAGATTATGAAGGAGTACAATTATTTGAGATGCATTTTGATTTTTATGAGATAAATTAAATGCATGTTACTTAGAATTGTTATTTGTTGTTCAATTAAATGCAAAGGAATATCTGTATGATTTATATCATGCTATGTATGGATTTATTTGATGTGATATCATAATTGTAGCGTCATTTATGGATTGTATGCATTATATGCATCTGCATGGGATGGTGGCATATTATGGACGGATTAACTAAAAAAGTTAAGTCCTACCTATTCATATATAACGAAATGGATTAACTAAAATGTTAATTCCTATATATTTTCATGTCAAGTCAACTGAATCAGTTAGATGACATACCAGATTTTATTTTATGTTTGGATAAGACGGATTATATATATATATATAGAGAGAGTTATATGCCATGATATGAGCTTGAATCTCAGAATCATGGTTAGGGTGCGTATATTGCTAGAGATGTTTAGTTAGATATTGTGTAGTTGTGTATCCTGGTAGGTCTGGGTACTCATGCTCACCATATGTGCGTTTTGCATGTTGCCTACTATTCAGGTTGAGACGACCCTATATTCTAGTGAGGTTCCTTTAGTGTGTATTTATATATATACGAACTATGTAACTATTGTTGAATTGATTAGGATGTATATGAGTTTTGAGTCTCTGTTTGGGATGTAGTAGATTAGAACTTGTTTGTGAGCCTGACCCACTATTATTTTTCAAGTGTTCGTCAGTTCCAAACTTAAGGATTGTTCATACTTAGTAGAGACGATCTATTAGCTCCTCCATCTTAAAGTATAATTTTCTTATTATTGTTTTAGTCAGATATTATTTTATTTCAGTTGGATTTTGGATTAGGGGTCCACATGATGGATTTCCAAGTTGTAATTTTAATTAATTACTGGTATCAGAGGATTTTGTTATTGGAGGTTTATTATTGGATTAATTAATAAGGATTTATTATTTAGTATTCCTTCAGCGTTATTCATTATTCTTATTTCATTTTGTATTCTGTGTTCATTTAAATACTTTAATTGTTTGATATTCCCTCGGGTTTGGGCTTGGGCCTAATCAACCCATGTCTCGGAGTTGAGGGGTATCACAACTTTCTACCACAACGATTACGGAGCGTGTGGGCGGGTTACTAGCATTGTCAGCTACCACAACGTTTTTCATGTCACGGTATCTCACATCGCCTTGGGTAAGGATTTTGGATTTTGTTTTGCCACTTTTGTTGTTTTTGGGTATACGAAGACTATGGGATCTGAATTTTGGGACGAAATTCTTTTTAAGTGGTGGAGAATGTGACAACCCGGATTTTTAAGTTTTTAATTTATATTTATTTTTATCATTTTTAATTGTTGAGATTAATTATTAATGATGTTGGGTCTTGATTTGTTGGATTTACAAATCTTTATTTTGTTATATGTGGGTGGATTGCCTATATATTTGGTGTGTTTGTGCACTACTGAGTATTCAGTAAAGAGATTAGAGTTGTACACACAAAGAAAAAAACTTAGAGATATAGAGAGAATGCCTAGATTTTATGAGCATAGAGAAATGCACAGAGCCGAGAGCATGGAGATGGACAGACTTGGATAATCAATGTTGATTATTTATTTTGCAGTATAGGGTTCTTTATACCTTGAATGGCTTGGATGATTTTGTTTCAAATATTTTATTGACTGTTATTTTTTTAGAATTGCATATATGTATTTTGTTTAAAAGTATATGTATATTTTTGTGAAGCTAATTTTTCATAAAACTCTTTGAAATCCTTGTTATGGTTTTTCCTACTGGGACTTCCCCCGTCTCACCCCCTTCCAATTTCAGGTACCGAGGATTGCTAGTTGCGTGCTTAGATGGAAAAGTCGGTGTTGAGGAATTATTTTATTTAATCAGAGATGTTGTATTATTTATTTGAGAAAATTTATTGTTGTATCAATATCTTTTGAGATCTTGGGTGTATAATGAAGCATTTTGATTTGAATAAATTGAGGAATTTTATTTAGAAAATTCGAGGTTGTTACAGATCAATTCCTGGCATATCTGAATGGCTCCATGCAAACACGTCTGCGTTCTGAGACAAGAAATCAACTAGCTGCCGTTTCTCCCCCTCTTCAAGCCCTGATACTCTTGTGGCTCTGTCCGGCCTCAGAAGATTAATTTGTACATCCATGAGGGTTCTTCAGTAAGGACCGAAGGATCTTCCTCCTCCCCAATCTCTTTGGGTGGAGGCCCTGTAATTGCTATCCCGAACTTTCTGTTCAGACGGGAGCTTTTCCCTTCCCGCTAGCTTTCAGAGTTACAGAGTAGCACTCTTTGGCTGCTACTTGGTCCCTATGAATATCAATAACCTTGTTCCCATTTAGACTTAAGCATCTCATTACCCAGTGCAAAGTCAAAGGAACACCTTGGACTCTGTGAATCCACCATCTTCCCATCAAAAGATTGTAAGATGGGTGAATCTCAACAACTACAAAGCTTTCCATCAATTCTCTCTCGGCCGCACGTACTAGTAACTCGACTATACCAATAGGCTCCACGCACTTCCCATTGAATCCCAACAATGGATTTCCTGTAGGTTTGAGCTTTTTTGGTTTAATCTCGAGCCAGTCAAATGTTACTCTTATCATGACATTCGCGTTGCTCCTCGGATCAATCAACATTCTTCGTACCAAGCATTCTGCTACCAACAAGCTAATGACTAGTGGATCTTTATGAGGGATTTGGACTCGCAACAAATCCATTCTGTCAAACTTTATCTGAACTGAACTGTTTTGCTGGTGCAGAGCGTTTACACTGCCTATCATTTTCTTCATTTGTGCTTGACGGAGATGCATTCAAAACAATTCTTCTGACTCTTCGGTCGGCTCAGGACGGCCATGAATTGCATTTATTATCCGAACAGGCTGAGCTTCATGGTAGTTTGGCTACTGATTTCTTTTCACTTGCTCAGCTGGTCAGTTCTGCTCCACTGCTGGTCCTTGAATGTAACCAGTAAATTCTCCTTTTGCTATCAGTATCTCCACTTTTCTTCTTAAATTCCTACATCCATTAGTCAAATGGCCAAAATCACAATGAAAAACACAATATTTAGATTGATCACTTTGTTCGAGCGGTTGTTTGATTACAAGGGAGGGCAAAATTTATCTTTATTTTCTTGAAATAACTTCACCAAGGTGACTTTGAGTGGAGTGACCGATTCCTCTTCTCTAGGCCTCTTTTCTACTTTCTAGGAGGTCGGACGCTGTGGTACAACTTGCTTTTGTCTGATCTTTGTTTTGGTCTTCTCCTTTGTCATGACCATGGACGTCTTCCTTGCGTTAGCAGCTTCCTTTTCTTCCAAGTGCATAAAACTATTAACTCTCTCGTTCAACTCATCCATGGTCCTCGGCATATTCACCACTAGATTCATGTAGAACAGTGTTCCTCGAGTCGTAGCCAGTTTGAACGCTTAAACCGCTGTAGACGGATGGCACTCTATTACCATGCTCTTTACTAGGTTAAACCTAGTGAGGAAAGCTTGGAGACATTCACCTTCCAGTTGTTTCATTGTAAATAAACTTGAGATATCCTTTGTTGGATGCCTGTTTTCATAGTACTGACTTATGAATCTGTCGCATAAGTTCCGGAAGCTTTCCACCGAGCCTCTTGCTAAGTTCTTGAACCAATTAAGGGCCAGTATGGTCAGGTTTGTAGGAAAAACCTTGCATATTAAAGGATTATTTTCTGTGTTCAGAGGCATTTTCAGTTGAATATAATAAACATGCTCGATCGGATCGCTCGTTTCATCGAACAAAGTAAAAATTGGCATGGAGAACTTTTTTGGATTTGGAGCACTCAAGATTCAATCTGTAAACGGCGAATTGATAGTCAGAGCTACTGAACGCAGGGTTTCACTCTCCTTTGGTACTATCTTCTGCTCAACAGATCTCTTGCCTGAACTTCTGTAGTCATACGTGGCCATTGACGATTGGTAGAGCGGATTGAACAACTTTTCCTCCGTTAACTCCCTCTGCCACGATGACGCAGCCTTATTGCGACTAAACTCCATAGCTTCTTCTCGCCTAATCCTTTCATGGTGCGGAGATCTCCATGGCTTCTTCTCACCTGATCCATTAACGGTATGGATCAATCTCCATGACTTTTTCTCACCTGATCCGTTCGCGATGTGGATCCAAATGGATAGATCCTTCTAGATCATCCATATGATGGACATTTGGTGAAAAATCTTCTGGCCTGATCTCTTTGCAATGAAGATCCAGGTGAACGTTTCCTTCTTGTTCTCCCTGGTGAGCAACATTTGGTTGTTGAATTTTCTCTCCTACCAAAGGCGGCCGTGGAATAACCGGAACCTCTCAACGCTCTATTCCTGTTCTTAATTCCGTATTCTCTCTTCTTAGAGTTTTAATCATGTTCATTAATTCGTCAAGCTTAGCGTGTTGTTCATTTTCCTGTGGATAAGAACTTTCATCCCCTAACATCATTCCTGATCGGAGCAGAGTCATGAACCAAGAATTCTTGATCGGATCTAAACTTTACTGACGTGAATGTACTAAATCTGGCCTTGGCTTGACCGAATTCCGATTTCTGCCGACTGGATATGAATATTTCCTGTCGCGAACTCGTCGGATCTAGCCTTCAACAATCAGGATTAACCCTCCGCAAAACAGATCACGATCTTCTAGATTAGAATCCAATTTCCAAAAATCAAGCTTCTATTCTGTAAATCAATCTTGATCTTCTGAGAAAACGATCAATTTGCTTGCAGCAAACTCGATGATCAACTGGATCCTTCCCTCGATTCCCACCGACGACGCCATTGAAGATGCAAGAAACAAACTCTCTTAATTTAGAAAGATTAGTTTTTACACTTCAAAATATCTTAACCCCTTACCCTCTATTTTCACTCTATTTATAGACCTTTACAATTGTTCTAGAAGCTTCCTACTTAGTTCTTCATGTTGGGCCGATCCTTTGGGCTCGTCTTGGATATGGGCCCATTTTCTTTGCTCTGAGATTGGGCTTAAGGATTGCTTTTAGTAGATACTGGGCTTGATTTGTAGTTATCCGACTGGGTCAAGTGTTCTTCCCGGATCCAACTTTTAGTAATCTGGGTTATGCTCGGCCTAGGTCATTTTTGGTATCCTCACATACATACATACATACATAATAACAACAATAATAACTTTTGATTCCTCCATTCTGAATTCATCTAGACTCGAAGCAAGTTTGTATATATCTAAGAAAATATGGTAAGTAAAGACGCAAATGAATTGAACTATTCATAAAGACTAGTATGTAAAGACGTAAGCATGCAAAAAAGCCTGACTTTTCATCAACAGTTTGCACTTGATTTGAGTTCCATTTCCTAGCAAAAGAAAAATGTTGATGTATGCATTTTATAAAGTTGAAAAAACCTACAGTATGAGGTTCAATGATGATGTTTCAAGTTATTGAAATTAACAGCTTTAACCTGCGCGATTGGTTCAATGTTAAGGGGTCTCAGGGGTTCAATAATGGCAGTCCTGAGCTGGATTCTCACCCAGCATAAAAATACCCAAGTTTAAATAATGTTTATAATTAATTGCATATATTCAAAATTTATCTTACAACAATAATGGCAATCCTGAGCCGGATTCTCACCCAGCATAAAAATACCCAAATTTGAATAATGTGTATAATTAATTGCATATATTCAAAATTTATCTTACAACTACAAGTTCAAAGTACTAACGATCAGATTAAAAAAAAAAAAAAAAAACGTGACAACTTTGACCAATGCATCAGAAGTGAGCTATAATTTTAATTTAATTTTCTTTGAAATAAAGTATGCTTATTTTCTCAATCTGCAGGGCATTTAATTTTCTTATTGGAGAGTAGTCTTCTATGCCATCTAAGTCATCCTAGTACACTTTTTGATATTCCATGCCATTGAAATTTTCTTTGACTTCCATGCCTTATCATTATACATGTTTGACATAACCACATATTTCAATTTCAATTCATGTTGACATTATATATCCATTTTATATACGTATGATTCGTATAAACTCATATAAATATTGTCTATTTTGTATATTTTTATTTATGATATTATTCATATCTGTCACTACCTGTCGTAACTCATGTAGATATTATCTGCTTTGCACATTCTCCTTGTAATTATCGGTTCTTTTTCCCATTTTTATGGATTTTCTTTTTTCCGTTGAAATGTCTTTTCTGTGTTCGGGTTTTGTCCCTTCGGGTTATCTTGAGTGCTCAAGAATAGTTCCCGACACTCTTTTTTTTGGAGATTGGTATTGTCCTCGTGGGGACCGCGTCATCTTCTTTCTTTTTCCGGTATTTTTCTTTTTCCGTTCATTTTCTTTTTATCGTTTCTTTTCGTGTAACTTTATGGTTTGTACTCGGATTTAATTCCAGCTTTGCAAGCATCCATTACATTTAATTTCCATTAACTGCGTAATTTTACTTTTGTAGAAAAACATTCTACTTGTTTGCATTTCATGTAAGGGTATGGATGCATGGTTTCTTCGGAAACATTTTTGCTTTTTGGGGTAATTGTGTAATTAACTTTTGTAATTATTTTTTACCTTAGGGACCTTTTTATAATTTATTTGTGAGATATTTTGGAGGAGGGACCTTTTTACAATTTTTAGAAAGTGTGACAAGTGTCACAGTTTCATTGGTCCACTTGTAGGCTTGTCATTGGTGACACTTGGAAGCCTTGAATGATGACATGTGAAGGGTGAGGACTCACCCATTTGTTGACTTAGGATTGGTACACTTGTTGGCCTTGGATGAGGGCAAGTGTAAGGCTTGGATTAAGCCTTGGGAGGAGGCTTTAGATGGTGACAAGTGTAGGCTTAGGATGTAATCTTGTGGGAAGGTCTTGTTAGTTGACAAGTGGAGGGGTGAGATGAGTTTTGTGTATGTAAGAGGTAATGCTAGCACACATAGTGCTTAGTTAGTGGAGGAATACACTATTCTCCATTAACTTCTCTTCCTTCTCTCTCTCTTACCCTAGCCACCACCATAGTTAAACCTTGAAACCTTAGCCTCCACATCTCATTTTTTAGTCCTTTCCTTTGAAGCTTTGGTCTTCCACCTTGAAGATTAAACCTTCATCTATTCATTCTCTAGAACACCTTTGCTTAGTTTTACATTTTACACTTGTTTGCTTTGGATTCTAGAGATTCAATTCTCCAGTGAGGTAGGGGTTGTTGTATGTTGATTTCCTAAATGTTTCAATTATTTTTGGGGCTTAATATATATTGTGTACATGCTTATTGAATCATAATCTTGCATATAGATGGAAAACCTTTGATTTGACTTAGGGTTTAATGATTTAAAAGCATGTTTAGTGTATATATATATATATATATATATATATATATATATATATTTGTATATCATGTTGTAAGTAAATTGTTTCATTTACTAGATTTCTAAATTTTAGATATTTTGTTGTTGTGATAATGAAATCTTGAATAATATCAATAATGTTTACCTTGAAGGCTTATTACTAGATTATAGTATATTTAGTAATTATAACTAGTATGATAGTAACTTGATTTAATTAATATTTAGAAATTCAAAGTATATATAGCTTATAAATATTGTAAAGAGATGTTATTTGATTTAATAACTTGTTAATTCCTAGAGATTTATCTTGTGTATTACTATGCTTATCTTAGAAGCTTGTTACTAAGTTGTAGAATATTTAGTACTTGTGACATACGTGATAGTAGCTTGATTTAGTTGGTTTATAGTATCATTATTTGATGTAGCAAGTCTCACATTGAAGGCTTGACAATAT